CCTCCCTCTCTTTCTCTCCCTCTCTATCTCCCTCTCTCTTTCTCTCCCTCCCTCTGTCCCTCCCTCTCTTTCTCTCTCTCTTTCCTTTCTATCTCTCCCTCCCTCTCTCTCTCTCTTTCTCTCTCTCTCCCTCTCCCTCCCTCCCTCCCTCTCTCTCTCTCCTTCCCCCCTCTCTTTCTCTCTCTTTCTCTCTCTCCCTCCCTCTCTTTCTCTCCCTCTCTTTCTCTCTGAGTATTCCTGTCTGCTGCCTGATGAATTCAGGGTTCTTCTCAAGTATCCTCAATGGATTGTGTTTCTACCATTGACATTTATGAGTTACAAGATTAAGTGGTAGACCATGAGTTGTTTGCCTGGGAAGGGGGGGTGTATATAAATTAAATAAATAAAAATAAATTAGAAATATAAAAATTTATAAGTAGATAAAATGATGGAAGGTCCTAGTTAAAAAAGGCATCCCCTCTCTCAGTATTCTCATGATTAAGAATCAGTGCTTTTGGGTACCTCTGCAATCTGGAATTCCATAATGGGGAAAAAATGGAGAGGTTAAAGTCGGTTATTTGATAAACCACTGTAGCTGCCTGTTCTGTACTGGGAGCCTAATAGCAATATTTCGTATTTCATTAAAAAAAAAAAAACCTTTGTGTTTTGTTTTGATTAAATGTGCAAAAAAGAGTCCTGTATAAATATTAAGTATTGCTGTTTTCATGAAGCAGCTCAGGAGCTGATCTATGGGATTGTGGCTTCTCCCAGGGCTTGTGAAAAGTGAGTTTGTGACCCAGCTGGATTTTAGCCCAAGGCCTTTCAAGGGTCCAAGGACATAACCCTCTACATCTTGCCACAGTAGCTGCCTTTCACCCAGCAGTCACAGAGGCTGATTTAATATCTGGGAAATTACATGTGCTCACTTTACCGTGTCATTACTTATTGCATTGATATTGTGTGTGTGTGTGTGTGTGTGTGTGTGTGTGTATGTATACACACACATTTTCTCTGAGAATCGAGGCACCCAGCGTAACTTTATCCCAACAACAACAGTGTGGGAGTACATGGAGATTCTCAAGTCACCCAAGCCTCATAGTTGTCTCAGAGGTGCTTTTTTCTTTCTTTAAAAGGCTACCGGACTGTTTTTTTTTCCTTGAGGACGAAGAAAATGAAGCAAAACGTTTTTTCTTCTTCTTCCTCAAAGGAAAAAAAAAACACCTGTTTTTTGAAGAAAAAAAGGACCTTTGAGATAACAGTGTGGGAGAGTGCTTGGCTCCACAATTTTCCAGTCCAGGGCTTTCCAATCTTGGCAACTTTAAGCCTGGCAGACTTCAACTTCCAGAATTCTGGCTGGGGAATTCTGGGAGTTGAAGTCCTCCAGGCTTAAAGTTGCCAAGGTTGGAAAGCCCTGCTCCAATCAACTTTGTATTTCCGTGTGAGGACCTGACCTATGATCCAGGTCCATCTCATTAACCCCTCTGCTATACCTACTACAGGTAATCCCCAATTTACGACCACAATTGAGCCCAAAATTTATATTTTGCTTAAATGGAACATTTGAGCGAGTTTTGCCCAGTTGCAACGGCTTCTCTTGCCCCCGTTGTTAAGTGAATCATTGCAACTTTTAAATTAGTAACACGGTTGTTAAGTGAATCTGGTTTCCCCACAGACTTGACTTGTCAGAAGATCGCCAAAGGGGATCCCACGGCCCTGGGATACTGACCGTCACAAATAGGAACCAGATGCCAAGCACCTGAATTTTGATCATGTGACCATGGGGGATGCTGATGCGGTCGTGTGAAACATGGCCATAAACTCTTTTTTCCCCATGCCATTATAACTTTGAAAGTTCACTAAATGAACTGTTGTAAGTCGAGGACTACCCTGGGCTGAATGGGGCTAAGATACACATCTGTTATGTGCACAATGAAAAAAGTTTAAAGAAACTGTACATACCTTCATTGACAGACGAAGTGTGCTTTCTTCATGTGGGAAAACGCAGAGTTTTCTGTGTAGAAACAGGGTGACCATTATTTACAGTTTCTAATGGCACGGTATCTCTAGCTCAGGGCTCTGGAGCCACATGCGGCTCTTTTGGCCCTCTGCTGTGTCTCCCTGTTGGCTGACGCCACCAGTGGCGGGCCCCTCCCTTCCCTGTCACTCCTCGCCTGGCCTAAGAAGGCAAGGGTGATGGTGGAGGATGGAGACTCCCTCCATATTCCAGAGCAGGAGGTGACTGGGTGAGAATGAGTGACGTCGAGTTGGCCATACCCATCCAGTCACACCGGTTGTTAATTTATTGGCTGCCAGGGTTTTCTTTTCTGCGGGAAACGGATCCAAGTGGCTCTTTGAGCGTTTAAGGTTGCAGACCCCTGCTCTAGTAAATGACCTACAGGTAGTCCTCCGCTTACAACCTTACGTTTAGTGACTGTTTGAAGTTACAACAGCACTGAAAAAAGTGACTTACAATGGTTTCTCCCCCTTATCAGCATCTCCATGTGATCAAAATTTGGAGGCTTGGCCGCTGGCTCATATTTATGACCAAGGGTCTTCAAACTTGGCAAGTGTAAGAGTTGTGGACTTCAACTCCCAGAATTCCTGAGCTAACATGACCGGTGGAGGGATTCTGAGAGTTGAAGT